GGGGAACAAAAAGTGGCATAACCAGAAAAACTCGGAGGTCCGCGCGGATTTCTCGGATCGGCGCTGGGGCCCCCTGGCGGCGCCTCCAGCGCCGATCCGAGAAGTCCGCGCGGACCTTCGAGTTTTTTATGTTTATGCCATCGTTTGTTCCCCTAGACCTGCCCTCGGCCCGGTGATGATTGTAGCAGTTGTTCTTTTGTGGTTTTGGCGGTGATCATGGCGACGGCCGCGGTGATGTTGGGTTCAAAATGGATGCTCGTCAGGGGGCACTGCAGGCTGGCCTACGCACCCAGCACTGCACGCCTTCGAATAGTACAAAGGTGCCGCGCAAATCCTTCGGAATTCGGCGGCTATTTGGGGAGCCATGGTGTCTCCAAATGATGGTCCTCGGTGAGAGTACATCGTGCAGTCTCATAGGTCTAGAGGTTGACACCAGCACCAATACCGTTGGTGTGCCTCCACCGAGGGAAGAAGGCCCTGATCCCAGAGATGGTGGTAATCTGCGGGCTCAAAAGAGGTGACCACCAACAGCTCGAATACATCGTGCAGTCATGACGTTGAAACCGAGAGGATCGGAGGGCTCCAACTATACACTTACACCAGTCCTGGCCAGGCCAATCCTGGCCCAGGATCGGTGTATATGCCTTCCTGCCCTGGGCAGGAGGGCGTATACACCGATCCTGGGCCCAGGGCAATCCTGACCAATATCGGTGTTGGTGTATAGTTGGTACCCTAGTAGAGGAGGACAGGACACCGACGCCGCTGCTCGTCTTGGAGAGCCCTCGTCACCGCAGCCGGGCTCTCCTGACATTGCTGGTCAGGGCGCGCCCCTGGAGATGTTTGGGAGGCAGCGGCATCGGTCCCCCCTGTCCCTCCCAGAGATGGAAACAGCTCGGGCTCGAAAGAGGCTCGCCGTTTTTCATTTCCTTCCATGGCTGCTCCTCTGGCGCTCCTCGAGTGCCCGGGCACTCTGGGGTCAAAAAAAGGGGTTCGTTCCAGATCGGGCGTTCCTTCTGGTAGCAGCTGCGCTGCAGCAGGTCGTCCCTGCAAATCGAGGGTACCATGTTGCGACCTGTCTGGGCCTGTCGATTCCGTGAAGGTGCGGTGCGATCCGACGCACGTTCCAGGACCGCCTGTTACCAACACCCGAAGCCCGGAGCCAGCTTCCGCAGCCCGAAGTTGGCAGTAAGCCGGCCGCCCGGGTAGGTTCGAGGTGCTGAATGTCTTTGGGGCCTCCATGGGGCCTCCGTCGGGCACCAAGGGGGCGCGCAGCCTCTCGCGAAGGGCCGTCGCCGCGCAGTTCGAGAGGCTCTCTGGAAGCTGCCCCCGGCCGCCGCGCGCGTTTCGGCCCACGGCGCCCCATGGGGGGGGCCATGCATTGAACGTGAGATTTAAAAGCCAGCGCATTTCACTATTGATGATGAGCCTGTTTTACACCACCACCACCACCACCACCATAAGTTGGAGGGGGAGGGGGTCCTCTTCCTCCTCCTCCTCCTCCTCCTCCTTTTCCTCCTCCTCCTCCTCCTCCTCCTCCTCCTCCTCCTTCCCCCCTCTCCTCCTCCTGAGCCTCCTCCTCCTCCTCCTCCTCCTCCTCCTCCTCCTCTTCCTCCTCTTCCTCCTCCCCCTCCCACTTAAAGTGGTGATGGTGGTGGTGGAAAACACGCTCATCAACAGGTCAAATATACAGCAAATCTGCCAAAGCTGCCCCGGCCATGGTCGGGCTTGCACGCAAAGGGAGGTTCCCAGGGGAGGTCCTGAGGCCCCGACGGCGCACACGGAGGGGTGTCCCCCGCGGCGGGCGGCCGTCTGGGAAGAGCCAGGGGGCTGCTGCTCAGGAGGCAGGGGGCCTCTCGGAGGCAACCGGCCGTGTCGTCACGCCTGGACCAAGAGGTGCCCTCGGCAGAGTCCTGCGTCCTGGGGTGCCTCCTGCCATCGGTCCCGACCGCACGGGGGAAGCTACGAGGTCGGAGGTTTGGGGGGGGGGGGGGGGGGGCGGCCCCTCTTCTTCTTCTTCCTCCCCCTCCTCTCCTCCTCCTCCCTGCTCCTCCTCCTCTCCTCCTCCCTCCTTCTGCTCCTCCTCCTCCTCCTCTTCCTCCTCCTCCTTCTCCCTCCTCCTCCTCCTCCTCCCTCCTCCTCCCTCCTCCTCCTCCTCCTCCTCCTCTCCTCCTCTCCTCCTCCTCCCTCCTCCTCCTCCTCCTCCTCCTCCTCCTCCTCCTCCTCCTCCTCTCTCCTCCTCTCCTCCTCCTCTCCTCTCTCCTCCTCCTCCTCCCTCCTCCTCCTCCTCCTCCTCCTCTCCTCCTCCTCTCCTCTCCTCCTCCTCCTCCTCCCTCCTCCTCCTCCTCCTCCTCCTCCTCCTCCTCCTCCTCCTCCTCCTCCCCCCAGGGGGCGCAGGCGCGAAATCGCAGGGTGCGGGGCGAGAAGTCAGCGGGCGTTGGGGTGTACCTGTCGGGGGGGGGGGGGGGGGGGGGGGGGGCGCGGCGCGACGCGGGAGCGCAGAGGGGTAATCGATCGCGCCTCGCGGCTGCTGGCAGCGCTCCTATTGCATGAGGTCGGGGCAGACCTGGAGGGGGGGGGCGCGGCGCGAGAGCGCGAAGGACTGATCGCGCCTCGCAGTGGTCGACCCAGTGGTGCGTTCCTGAGGGAACGAAGAATGGCATAAACATCAAACATCAGGAGGGGAAAAAACACACAGACACAATTAATCGTCGATCCCCCAGAAAATGTGGGAATATACGGGAAGTGGGGGGAAGACGAAAATGACAAATATGGGAAAATATGCAATATTTCTATTTGTGTGTATTTATTTGTGTGTCCCAGGGCCCCTTCAACAGAACTCGGAGGTCCGCGCGGATTTCTCGAGTCCGGCGCCGCCCCTGGCGCGCTCGGCGCGCCAGGGAGGGCGGTCCAGTGCGGGTCCTAGAAATCCGCGCGGACCTCCGAGTTTGTTTGTTGTATGTTTATGTCACCCTTCGTCCCCCTAGTGCCGAGGCTCGGAGAGCCTCCAAGAATCCACGAAACAACCCGCAAAGTTCTCCAATCTGGAAACTTCGAGTCGGAGATCGAATCCAGAATTGATATATCACAAGTTTGTTTTTTTTTCGTCGAGTCGCCCAAGGGATACATAGCAGCCCACGAACGTTTTACTTATTCTTTTCTAGATGCGACGAAAGATCACGTTCGGTAATTCTGTAGCTGATCCCCTACTCGAAAACTCGAGGAAGTCGGGGGGGACAGGGGCCCGGGCTTCCTCCGAGCTTCGTTCTGCAAGCCGCGGCCCCAGGAGCCCCGACCGCCTCCTCCCGGGAAGCGTTTCGTCCCAGGCCCGTTTTTGATGGCATTGGCGCCCAATGCTGGGCTTAAGTCGGGCCTGTCCCTCTGCAGGGTGAATATTCAAACATAGTCAAGACTAGTCTGGGGACGATATTTTTCTTATATACATGTTTTGAGCATTTCTGGATTATTGTTTGACTATTGTTTGTTGTTCGTCCAAAGCCCGCCTGTAGGGGGACATGCCCGACCTAGCACTGGCGTCCAACGCTGGGGCCTGTCCCTCTACAGGAGGAAAATGCAAAAGTAGTGCCAACAACAATAGTCTGGGGACGATGTTTCAATTACTTGTTTGACTATTGTTGGCGCATTGTTGACTATTGCTGGCGTATTGTTGGCGCATTTGTCCCGGACCCGCCTGCAGGGGGACATGCCCGACGTGACCCTCGGCCTGAGATCCTGACGCCCCGGCTTTTTCGAGCCGGGCGTTTTCGCCCGAGCTCGAGGCGACGCCAGCGGTGGCGACGAAGGCCTCCCCCAGGAGGCCCAGAGAAGGAGACACGGGGCAAGGGGCAAGGGAGGCAGGCGATCGCGCCAACATGGATCAGGGGGGGCGTGGATGAGCGACGGGCCCCGCTTCCATGGGACATCCCGGATTTCCGCCGCCGAAAGAGAGGCGGCACCGTCCGCATTCTGGGCAGGCCACCTCCCCCGATCCATGGATTTGGCGACCGCGCGCCAAGTCCATGGATCGCTGATCCATGTCTGAACGCCCCCGAGGGTAGCAGGATCGGTACCTCCTCCTCCTCCTCCGAGGACCCGTGGTTCTCGCAGGACTCTGTTGCGGGCGCAGCCTTGCCGACCCCCTCCAGAGGACGAGAGCCCCTTCCGTGCTGGGCTCCTCGCCCTCGAGGACCCCCCCCCAGCCGGCCTCCTGCCCACGTGCTGGATCGAGGCGAGCGGGTCATCACGGAGGGGGTCCAAATAATGACGGAGTGCCGCGGGCGTGCCTCACGACAGGTGCAGCGCACGTCGCACATGTGCAAAAGGATGGCGTTCTGTCCAGAACGACACGTGCGATTGGGTGCCGCTTTGACACCACATGTTCAGAGACCCGAATCATCAGGGGTAACTCGGGTCAGGGCTAACTCGGGTTCGTTTTTCGGGAATCCGAACCCGAGTTGCCCCGGGCCCGAGTTACCCCGGATAACTCGGGCGTCCAGAGCCCCAAATCATCAGGGATAATTCGGGTCAGAGCTAACTCGGGTTCGGGAGGGGGTCATCACGGGAGGGGTCGGTCTGCCAGGGGGTCGGCCCGGCCGCCCCTGACCTCTGCAGGGCGAGGGGAGGAAGTCGGGCGCGCGGAGGAGGAGGAGGAGGAGGAGGAGGAGGAGGAGGAGGAGGAGGAGGAGGAGGCGCGTTCCGATTTTTGTCGGGCCCAGCGCTTGCGCCTCCGGTCGGGCCCCGGTGCCCTCACGGATCGAGCTGGCTCGACGGGGGGTGGCGCCGGAAGAGATCTGGGGCCTGGGGCTCCGGCCGGGATCTCTCACAAGGCTGCATTCTTTCCCCTACCTCGGATTTTGGGGATCGCGGGGACTTGTTTTTTTGTTAACGGCGGAGCAGGCCTGCACACCAGAGAAGGAGGAGGAGGAGGAGGTGGAGGAGGAGGCTGCAAATGTGTCGCTGCGTCGGGTCTCGGGGTCGCCGCGTGGGGCCGCGCGCGCCGACAGGGCCGGCGGCCACTCGATGCTGCTCTCGGCCGGGGCGGACAGGACGGGCCTTGCGGCGCCCCGGCGCGGCTGCGGGGCTCTGGGCTTCCCAGGTGGGGTCCGAGGTGAATTGTCAAGCAGTGGTGAAGCGTCCAGGCGTGCCTATAGGCCTACCAAACAGTGTTTTAAGAACCTGTTTGTGGTTTCCACGAAATTGTCTTCGAACATTTCTTGCTGGGACTGTCTTGTTTCATCACATCGGGCTTACGTTCGAAAAACATTGTTTATGCTATTAGAACATTTATTGGTTCTAGGAACATGTCGCGGTAGGCCTATAGGAATGCCCGGACGGTCGGCCCCTGCTCAACAATGGTGTCGGATGGCCGCGTCGCATCGCCGGGTGCATCGCCGACGCATCGCCTACGCATCGCCGCCGCGTCGCCGACGCACCGGCGACGTTTGCCATGCATCGGCGGCGGCGCCGTGGAGAACGGCGGCCTCTGCACATCGAGCCGCATCGCCGATGCATCGGTGATGCGGCGCGTTCCTTCGGCCCCATCTACCCGGACCCCATCCATGAGGCCTCTAGGGGCGCTCCCTCCGCGCCGCCCTCCTGCTCAGCTCGGGGGCTTCCAGGAGGGGGGGTGGGGAGTGGCTCCCGTGGGGCCCTGGGGCCTGAGGCAGGTCCGCACAGGCGGACCATCCCGTCCTGGGGGGCAGCGGGTGCTTCCGCGTGAAGGCACTGCTGCCCGGCGACTGGCAACCTCACACCTTTTACACCCCCCCCCCATCACGGGCCCCAGACGTGGTGGAGGGGCAGGACTGGTGCCGGCGGACTCGCGAACCCACCATTTTCAGTAGCAGCAGGGGGTTGTCGGGGGGGGCAGACATCCTCTCGTTGCGATCGGAGGGCACCAACTATACACCAACACCGATCCTGGCCCAGGATCACCCTGGGCCCAGGATCGGTGCATATGCCTTCTTGCGCAAGGCAGAAGGGCGTATACACCGATCCTGGGTCCAGGGTGATCCTGGCCAGGATCGGTGTTGGTGTATAGTTGGTGCCTTCCTAGAGGACTCAGGAAGGGTTTCTGCCCACCTTCCATTTCCCTGCATGGGCCCTCGCCGAGCCCCGCTGGTCGTCAGGAGCCTGCCCCGGAGGGGCACGCTGTCCCGGGGAGGGGGTCGGCGGCGCGCGTGGAGACGGGACGGGCGTCCCGAGAAGTTTTGTTTGCGTCTGCGGAGGACGCTTCGCGCGCCCCACCAGGTCGGTAAACTCCTCACCACAGAGGGAGGAGGAGGAGGAGGAGGAGGAGGAGGAGGAGGAGGAGGAGGAGGAGGAGGAGGAGGAGGAGGAGGAGGAGGACGTGTTTGCTTTCACGCTCTTCGTGCAGTTCGTGTCCGCCACTCTCATGTGCAAGGTCTTCGTCTTCGGCACGTTCTTCTGCTGCTTACCGCCTGGTCGGTCTCGCGGCCCTGACCGTCCCGTCTCTCACTGCTGTTCCTCTTCGCTACCAGCGCGGCCCGCCGTAGCAGGCTCGGCGTTCGACTCGTTTCTCGCCCCCGCGGACCCAAAGTGTCCCCACCCGCCGCAGGTTGCGAACGCTGCCTTGTTTGCTCGGCGTCCGATTTGTTTCGCGCGCCCGCGGGCCAAAAAAAACCCACCAACCCATTCAGAAAAAGATCGCAAGGCGAGTCGCCTTGATCAGGGACGTGTAGAAGAACGCAGTGCAAAAGTCGCCTTGGAAGCGTTTTCTCGGAGGTCTCTTGGAGCCATCTTCGGACTCGTGTTGGATCCTCGCGGAGAAGTTTTCTGCGTCTGCGGGGAAGGCTTCGGGTCTTCGGCAAGGCCCGGCCCCTCTCGGTTCCTCCCCCCCCACGCGCGTTGCCGATACCCGCCCTCGCATCGGCACGATCGAGATCGGCACGGGAAGTGTAGGGGAAAAGTGGGGGCGGAGGAGGTGGAGGAGGAGGGGGAGGAAGAGGAACAGTTTTTCTGATTCGCGGGTCGAGAGCGCACCTCTTCCGGTCGAAGCTAAGCGGGCCGCGCGAAGCTTGAATTAACATAGGGGAGGAGGAGGAACAGGCGGAGGAGGAGGAGGAGGAGGGACGAATGCCGATCGAACTTCCCGCCATTCAAGCGCAGGGTTCGCCGCGGGCGTTGCCCCTTGTGCGCGCCGCCGCAGAGCGGCCCCGAGGGAGGGGCCGAGGCTTCCCGCGGGCCACGTTGGCCCAGGGCCCTGGGGACCCAGACCCATTCGGGTAATGAACGAAATCACGGCGGGAGGTTTTTCCCCTACCAGCCGAGGGTTGGTCGCAGGTCTTCAGGTCGCAGCCCCGTCGACGTTTGAGCACTGCGGCGGGGGCGGCTGGGATTAACGATGATCATCAAAGTTCATACATTAAATCGTGATGCGCGTACACATGTGCATTACAAGCGCGCGCCGGCATATACATACCTTTTCGTGTGTATGTATGTATGTTTGTGCATATCTATTACTATCTATGTATGTGTGTGCGCGCATATACCGCTGGCCACGTGCATGCGTATACAGAAATATTTGCAGAACCGTGCCAGTACGCACAAGGGCGCACAACGCATGATGAGCAGCTCGACCTACGGATGCACAGCCATCATCGCGAGTGTGTTCGTCCCTATGCACAACATGGTTTGCACGCGAAATATGATATATGTTATACCTCATACGCCTAGGGGCCCGAGAAGGGACCCCCGGATTACGCCTCGTGACCCGAAAGCACTCGGCGAGGGTCGCGGTCATTGCTTCATAGGAGACCCGCGGATCGCGTTTTGTGACCCAAGAGCATTCGGCGCGGGTCGGTTGTCCGCGGATCGCGCTGCGTGACCTCAGAGCATGCGGCGCGGGTCGGCGGTCATTGCCTCCTGCGCTTCGGGGCCCGAGACAGGCCCGCGGATCACGCATCATGATTCAAAACCATTCAGCGTGGGTCGTCAGACACTACTTCATGCGCCTGGGGGCCCGAGAGAAGGCCCGCGGATTGCGCATCGTAACCCAAGAGCATTAGGCGCGGGTCGGCGGTTATTGCCGCGCCTGGGGACCCCGATATGGGGCCCGCGGGTCACGCTTCGAGACCCCAGAGCATGCGGCGCGGGCCAAGAGCATCCGGCGCGGGTCGGCGGCCATTGCATCATGCGCCTGGGGGCCCGAGAGGAGGCCCGCGGATTGCGCATCGTGACCCAAGAGCATCCTGCGCGGGTCGGCGGTCATTGCCTCATGCAGCAGGGGGTGGGGGGCGAATCCATCTCTCTCTCTCTCTCTCTATATATATATATATGAATGTATGTACGTATGTATGTATATGTGTGTATATGTGTATATATACATTAATATACACATATATATATATACATACATACATACATTCAAGAATGCATGCATGCATGTATACACACATGCACACATACATCACAAACGGACGGACCGACACACACGGACAGATAGACAGACAGACAGACATATTGACGCACATGCATGCGTGCGTACATACATACATACATGCATACACTCATACATATGTATGAGAAATCTGATTTCCATTGCCTCATGAGCCTGGGGGGCCGAGGGGAGGCCCGCGGATCACGCCCCGTCACCCGAGAGCATTCGGCGCGGGTTGGCGGTCATTACCTCATGCGTTTGGGGGCCTGAGAGGAGGCCCGCGGATTGCGCCTCGTAACCCAAGAGTATTTGGCGCGGGTCGGCGGTCATTGCCTCGTGCGACCCGTGGGTGGGGTGGGGTGGGGGAATATACGTAGATATATGTATTAAATATTAATACATATATGGGCGCGGTGCTGAAAGTGATCGTTCGGTTGATGACACTCTTGGAATGTATTAGTACCGGTGCGGTACTACTGATAACCTCTGGAAGGTGTGAATGGCCCCCTAAGGTTACATACGCATGTATAAGTGCCCTCACATGTGCACATACCACTCCTGCGATGTGCGAAGTTGGCATGTGCATGATGCGTATCTGCACACACGCATCTTCGTATGATGGAATAAAACAACGTGGTCGATTGCACTTTGTACGTGCGTATACACGTGCATAAACTTATAAATACACATATATATATGTGTAAATAGACATACATATATATATGTATATATATATATGTATACAGATATCGGAGGTGAGGTGGTGAGATCGAAGTAGAACGGGGAGCCCCACTACCGGAAAATCGGTTTCGTTTTCGTGTTCGTGCGTGCCGTGCGTGCGGGCGAGGCGCTGCTGCGTGGGAGGGCGAGAGGAAAGTCTCCTGTGGTTGAGGCGCGGCTCGACCAAATGATCCCCTTCCGGCAACCGGTGCCGCGCGGTGTCCCGCCGGTGTCCCGCTGTGGCTGAGGCGCGGCCGGACCAAATGATTCCCTCCGGGGTCCGGTGCCGCGCGGTGTCCCGCCAGTGTCCCGCCGGTGTCCCGTCGGTGTCCCGATGATGATGATGATGATGATGATGATGATGATGATGATGATGATGATGGTGATGATGCTGATGATGATATTAATGATGTTGATGATAATGATGATGATGATGATGATGGTGATGGTGATGATGATGGTGTCCCGATGATGATGCTGATTTTGACGATGTTGATGATGGTGATGGTGATGGTTGTGATGATGATGGTGTCCCGATGATGATGTTGTTGATGGTGATGTTGGTGATCACGATGATAGTCCCCCAATGATGATAATGTTGATGATCATGATGATGTTGATGATAATATAATCATGAGAAGATGATGATCATGATCATGATGATGATGATGGTGTCCTGATGATGATGCTGTTGATGATGATGGTGATGATGATGGTGTCCCGATGATGATGATGATGATGACGGCGATTGTGTCACGATGACGATGGTTATGATGATGGGGATGATGATGGGTGATGATGATGGTTTGATGATGGTGGCCCGATGATGGTGATGATGATGATGCTGGTGGTGATGATGATGATGATGATGGTGACGATGATGATGGTGCCCGGTGATTATGATGATGATGTTGTTCATGATGTTGCTGATGATGATGGTGTCCCGATGGTGATGGTGTTGAGGAGATTGCTCACGATGATGGTGCTGATGAGATGATGCTGGTGGTGGTGGTGTTCCGATGATGATGAGGAGGAGGAGGAGGAGGAGGAGGATGGGGTCACGATCTTGATGATGTTGATGGTGATCATGATGGTGACGATGATGGTGTCCCGATGATGATGGTGATGATGCTGGTTATTTTGGTGACGATGGTGATGAGGTAATGATGATGATGATGATGATGGTGCCCTGATGTTGATGATGATGATGATGGTGATGGCGCTGATGACGAGGATCTTGAGGATGATGGTGCTGATGACGTTGATTGTGCGATCGACTGTGGTATCGATAGTGGGATCGATAGTGAGACCGGATGTGAGATCGATTGTGAGATCGATGGTGAGATCGATAGTGAGATCGATTGTGGGATGGATAGTCAGATCGATTGTGGGATCGACCGAATGAAATAGACCGAGATCGATCGATTGTGAGGTCGATCGGAAGAGATCGTTCGAGCGAGACCGATAGCGAGATCGATAGTGAGATCGATGGTGAGACCGATCGAGTGAGACGTTGGTTCCTCCCCCCCGAACCTCCCTATCACCCGAAGGGTGGTCGTATAGGTGTGTGTGTGTGTATATATATATATATATCCGTAAGGGGTTCGCCCCCTGCCGCCGGCCCCCTCTCTCGGAGAATGGGCCATGGAAGAGCTAAGTCATGAGGCCTTGGCGCTGTCGTGAAGCAGTATCGAAACTTCATGCGAAGCCGAGTCGCAATCAGCAAAACCAACTGATCACAAGAGGGGTTACCACACCTGGCGATTGGTAAGACGTGTATGGTTTAAGGGCTTGGTTTTTTGACGCACCACACCGAATTTCAGAAATGTGGCAAATCCCCTGTGTTTTTGGACCCTGACCCCGCGGATCTGCGTGAGGGGTGGCACCGAATTTCAGAAATGTGGCAAATCCCATATGTTTTTGGACCCTGACCCCGCGGATCTGCGTGAGGGGTGGCACCGAATTTCAGAAATGTGGCAAATCTCTTGTGTTTTTTGACCCTGACCCCGCGGATCTGCGTGAGGGGTGGCACCGAATTTCAGAAATATGGCAAATCCCTATGTTTTTGGACCCTGACCTCGCAAATCTGCGTGAGGGGTGGCACTGAATTTCAGAAATGTGGCAAATCTCTTGTGTTTTGGGCCCTGACCCCGCGGATCTGCGTGAGGGGTGGCACCGAATTTCAGAAATTTGGCAAATCTTCTGTGTTTTTGGACCCTGACCCCGCGGATCTGCGTGAGGGGTGGCACCGAATTTTAGAAATGTGGCAAATCCCTTGTGTTTTTGGACCCTGACCCCGCGGATCTGCGTGAGGGGTGTCGATTTCGAGCCCCCCCAGCAATTCAGACAACGCGCCCAGGGGACGCTGGAAAATCCTGTTTGGGCCTCCCCCCCCCTCGCGCGGTCAATCAACTAGTTACAGTAACCAGCAAGAAGTCAACTAGTTACAGTAACCAGCAAGAAGCAGAACTGTAACACTGGAAACTAGAAACTACAACTGGTACAGGAAACTGCGAATCACGCGCCTACAGCCTGGTGGCCCCACAAGGGGGCCGGCGGATATATAGGTCGGAGGTTGGGGGGTGAGATCGCAGTGGAACGGAAAGCCCCCCACCGGGAAATCCGTTGCGGTTTCGTGTTCGTGTCGCGCGTGCGGGCGAGGCGAAGTTGCGCGTGATCCTTCTGTAGCTAGACCGAAGTAGGAGCGAAAGTCCGTTTCCCGTCCGCAGGTGGCCGGGAGGTGTCCCAGTTGGGCCGGGCGGTGTCCCGGGTGTCCAGGGTGTCAGTAAGAGCGAAAATGCGTTTCCCGTCCGCCGGTGGCCGGGAGGTGTCCCAGTTGGGCCGGGCGGTGTCCTGGGTGTCCCGGGCGTCCCGGTTCTAACGCATGTCGCCAATTTCATAATTCATTATTTTCGGCGCCTGCGGCGGGCTTTCTTATCCAATCCAGCTTATCTGCTCCAATACATCTTGTTTTATCCAACCCATCTTATCTTATCAAACCCATATTGTCCCATGTTATCGTGTCCCACCCAATCCAAACCACCCAACCCGATAGGTCGGCCGACGGATAGGTAGGTAGTAGGATATCATCGTCAGCGCGATCATCATTGTGGTGGAGGAAGATTTTGATAGAGAGGGAGAGAAAAAGAGAGAGGGCTGGAGAGAGAGAGAGAGAGAGACACACAGAGAAAGAGAGAGAGAGAGAGAAACAGAGAGAAAGAGAGAGATGAGATCAAGGTGACAGGCTGGAGGTCAGTCAGGGTGGGCAATTCATCTCACCCCCCCCCCATCCTCCTTATCGCCCGCAGGGCGGTCGTATAAGTATAGATGTATGTATGTAGATGTATGCATATGCATATGTGTATGTGGATCCATGTAAATATGAGTATGCATGTATGTACGTGTGCAGGTATGTCCGTACGTCTGTACGGATGTATATATGTATATATATGGTTGCATGGCTTAATGTGCGGTGTACGCGTGCGTATGTGAGCTTGTGCATTTGCATGCACCTGCACAATACAGACAGTCCGCATACGCCTAATTCAATGTCGCGTCAGTCTTTAGTGGCGACCGCGTGTACACTTCGGCGCATCCCTCCGCCGCGCATGGGTGCGGGTCTGTCCGAGGCCTATTGGACGCATGTTGGGGGCCATTCGGAGGCTTATCTGGAGTTTCGTCGAGGCAGGTTTCGAGGCCTCTTGGAGGCCTCTTTGGGACCTCGGCTGCTTTAGGGTCACATCTGTTGGGGACATCTTGCTACTGATTCAGGGTATCTTGGGCGCGCGGTTGGCGGTCTTTGGAGTCATCTTGGGGTGGCTCGACAGGTCACTTCGCCCCCCCCCCTCTTGGGACCGTTTTGGGGTCTGGCCTCGATCCTCGAGCTTCGAGCCTCGATCGACCGCCTTGGCAGGGGTCGTGTGCTCTGCCTGCGGGAGCCCCGCCTGCCTATCCATCTCTTTGGAAGCCTGCCTCGCTCGCCGCCTGCAGCAACAAAAAGCATCGATCCCGCTCCACCCGCCCCCTCCTCCCCCCCACCACTTCGTTTTTTGTTCCCAGACCTCCGATCGTTGCCCAGGAGAGATCCGCCCGCGCTCCGGCAGCGCGCCGCTTTCCCTTCGATTGGGGCCAGCCCTTGGCTGTGCAGAGTGAGTCTGAGTCTGAGACTTCCGGCAATTCGATGTTTTCGAGTCTCCGAGATTTGGACCACTCGACCGTTCCCTAAAAACGGTTTTTCATAGATCGCCGCGCTTGTCCCGACGCGCGACTTTACGCTGGTGAGAGGGCGCTTCGAGCACCAGGACACATTCCGCCTCGGACACAAGATTCGCCGTTGAGTTTGCCGTGGTGCCGACTTCGTCTAGTTGGTCGTGTTCAGAACGGCCCGGCAACAGATTGAGTCGTCAGTTGACGATTTCAGGGCCCGAGAATTGCCTCCTGAGGCAGAACATGCAGGAAAGCCTTTGGTTCAAAGTCTTGGAGGTCGACACGTCAGTCAAGCAGGTCGCCCCCTGGACGTCTCCTGCGGTGCGTTCGGGCCAGAATTTCAAAACGAATCCAGCCGTGGCCACGATTGGTCACGCGTAGAGGGGGGTAGGGTGAGGAGGAAGGCTTCTCAGAAACATCCCTGCTTCTTAGAAGGCGTGGGCCTGATCCTTCTAAGAAGCAGGCTCCTTCTAAGATGTGTTCCCCCCCTACCGCTTTGTTCGCGCCACCAGGACAAGGCGGGCCCAGAAGATATGGAAGCACGGCAACAACATCGAAAACGGCGAAAACAGAACCATCACAAGCACAGTAGCAAAACCATTACACCAGAGAAAAGCCCAAATCAGTGGATGGTTTGAAATGGGATCGATAAAGAGATCGATCAGGAGATCGACCAGGAACCCGGGAACCCAGGAAGAACCCGGAACCCACCGAAATCGGCCTAGAACCGATGGCCTGGGAACCCGGGAGCCTGGAACCTGGAACTCAGAAACCCAGACGGCCACCAAAATCGGCGGGAAATGTTCGCCAAATCTTTCAATTTCCGCTGGGACCCTTCAGTGCAAGCACTGATTAGGGACAAAAACAGAAAGCAAACTTACTCACCACCCGCTAAACCACCCCAGCCCAACCCGAAGGCCTCAATTTGCCATCCATTTCCTGTGGAGGGGGGGTCGGGGAACATTGAAACAACACCGATGGAACCCTTACACCCCCAACCCGAAATTCGGGTCTTCGGGTTGGCTTGGGGTGGTCTGGTAGGTCGTACTTCGATCCTCGATACCCGTGCTCGCGTCTCGCCCCCGGCGCGCGGCCAAGGACGGCCCGACTCTGGGCGTTGGGCGGCGCGCGCGCGGGGGCGGAGCTGCTGTGCATGGACCGGCTGCGCACCAACACGAAGCCCGCCCACACGGAGGGCGCGCGCCCGGGGGAGGGTGGGAGTGCCGCGGTGTCTTTTCGTCGTCGTCGTCGTCATCGTCCTCCTCTTGCTCCTTTTCCTCCTCCTCCTCCTCCTCCTCCTCCTCCTCCTCCTCCTCCTCCTCCTCCCTCTCCCCCTCCTCATTCTCTTCTTCATCCTCCTCATCCTCATCCTGATCCATCATCCCTCCGCCTTTCATCCCCCCCTCCCCTTGCTCCTCGTTTTCCTCCGTGTTTCCCTCCGCCGCCTCCCCCTGCTTCTTCCCCACTTGTTATTATTAGCATTATTATTATTATTATTATTATTATCATTGTTATTATCATTATTATTGTGATTATTAGTATTGTTATTCAAATTATTATTATTAACATATTCTTCTTATTATGTATGATTATGTTGTTATCATCCGTGTTATTATCAGTGTTCGTATTTTCTGTATGTTATTTGTATGGTTGTTGTTAGCCTTATCATTAGCATTATGCTTATCATTATCAGAATTATTGTTGTTATCATTATTATTTGTATTCCTCCTCCTCCTCCTCCTCCCCCTACTTACTCATCCCTCCCCTCTTCTTCCTCGTCGTTCTCTTTGTATGCGTCGTCTCGTCCTCCCTCCTCCACCCTGTTCCCCTCAGTCCTCACTCCTTCTCCCCCCCCCCCTTACCGCCTCCTCCACCACCTCGTCAACATCATAATCCACATCATCGTCAGCATGACCCTCATCATCATCAGCATCATCATCATCGTCGTCATCACCCCCGGTATCATCAGCACAAAAGATAAGTCATCAACACCATTATCATCATTATCATCATCCTCAGCATCGTCAACACCATCACCAGCATCATGTGTAGCCGTCGTGATACGATCTGGACAGTTGGATCGCCCACCCACCCTAGATTGGACTTGCCTCAGGCGAGGCCCGGCATAAAGGCGAGATGCGGGAGCGTGGCTCATCTTTCGAAGCAGGACGAGCATCGCATGCAATAGAGACCGGACGATGTGTCAACTCGGGCCCTGCGACCGTCGGGCCCGAGCCCAAGCATTGACACCCCATTTGGGGCTGACCCCCTCGATGCCTTCAAAGGGTCCAGGGAGGGACAAGGGCAGAGCGTGACATCCAACACCAAAATCATTATGCATTCGGGGGTGTGGGGGGGCAGTATAAAACTATGGAAAGGGAACTGGGTTCTGCAGTTCATTTTCAGTCGCAGTCGATGCGTTCATTCTCCAACCATGTGCAAACATCGTGTTACGATCCGGACAAGTCGCCCGCGCACTCACCCCTGTCAGAACTTGCCGTTGGTGAGGCCCGGCACAGTACACGGAATGTGATAGCGGGGGCCTTCGTTCGCAACAGGATGGGCACATGGGCACCTCGTGCAATCAAGACCGAGCGTTGTGTTTTTCAATTCGGGCCCTGCTAGCGTCGGGCCCGAACCCTAGCATTGAAACCAACTTCGGGGCTGATCCCCTCGACGCCTGGGATGTGAAGGACTAGACATATCATGAGCCTGAAGCCCATTCCCACTTGTGATTGAACCCTCCACCTGACAAGCCGGCCCACGTCGTCCATCACAGCCCGCTCCCGCTAGCGATCTGAGCATACTTTACGCAATCACGTAGATAACGGAGCCAGCGGTGCCAAACTGGCGGGTGCAAGCCCGACGATATCTCGTCCGAGTGGAGGATCTCGAAAATTGAATTGGAAATGCCGTCGCATAGTTTCTCCGTGATTTTGTCGAGCTGCGTCGTAACATCTGATCCAACCCATTCCAGACTGGATTGGCCCTCGCTCGTCGGAACGTCGTCGGAGCCCACGGAAATCGAATGCCAACGAAGTCGGGCGTTAGCAGGCGCACTTCGTAGTCGAACGCGTCGCTTGGCTCGGGCCCTTGTTTTGTCGTTCGCTTTGTTTTTGTTCGTTGTTGTTCCGTGTCCTTTTCCGTTTTTGCTTTAACGCCCGTTTCGTCGTTCGTTTTCGTTTGGCACCGGCTTCGCTTCAAACGTTCGTTTGAAACGTCGGGCCTCGTTTTGCACGCCGTTGTAAGCGCCGTTTCGTTTAAAACATCGTTGCCGTCGGCCCCCGCAGCTTCCCCCTTTCACGGTGCGACGCTGACGGAACGATGTGCGTTGCGGTCGCGGACCGTTCATCTCGGGCGGTCGCAATCCGGCGCCGCGCCCAGCGCTTGCCTCGCGCGGCCCGCGGGCGCCAGGTTGATGCTCATGGGATTGCCCGGCGCCTTGCCGAGCGGCGCGGCGCGCTTGCTGACGCGGCAGCGCCCCCGGCTTGTTTGACGGCCGCCAAACGATTTCCAAATTTTGGCGGCAATAGCAAGGATCCAAAATCGCTCCTGCACTCCACCCGCGCGTCGCCCCACTGGTCTGTTCCGACGGGCACGAAGTGGTTGGCGAGGGCCCGCGATGTGAAGACACGGGCCTCGCGTCGATATGTCTCGATAGTCTACGGCTTGACCTGCTGAGCTTGGCGGTGGTCTAGGCGCCGCGGCCCGCCCCGCCTCATTTGCGACGCAACAGCCAATCGGCCGCCTGGCGCTCGGTGTCCACCGAGGGCAGCGCGAACACAATGCCTGATGCTAAACACAAAGCCGGGCGGCCCTTGGCCACGGCCGCGGAGGTACCCTCGTTGTCTTGCAGGTACGAGATAGAGTAGCCGCTCGCCCCTAGGGCGCAGCTGACCGCGGCCAGCAGCTCGATGGCAGTTCGGCCTTCGCCCTGCGCGTCGCGGTCGGCTCCGTCGCCCCAATCCCAGCTCAGCCCAGTGCTGCGGCGGCTTCTCCAGCGAGATCCGCGGGGCCGTGGGCGCCGCGATCCCGTTGGCGATCTCTCGGTCAAGCCGGTCGAGATGGCCCAGGCGGCCGTCGAGGCGCGCGGCGGCGTAACCAAGCGCCCGCCGCCACCGGCGCCCCCATCTCGATGAAGCACGCCTTCGCCCCCGCGACGACGTGGCCCCAAAAGTCGCGACTCCCTCGGCGTCGTGCGAGTGGACGAAGGGGGCCGCTGGCCGGTCGAGCTTGCGCTCCATCGCGGGGGCCAGGCACGCCGTGATCTTGAGCTCTCTATTGGCCGACGGCCACGAGCGAACGGCCCGGCCCGCGCGCCCGTCCATCGCGCGCAAGAGCGCGCGCGGCATGGCGGGCAGCTCGCGGCGCAGAAGGGCGCCCCGCGGCCAGGCGCCGACCGCCAACCGCAATAGTTCGACGTCGACCCAGTCGTCCTCCAGCAGCCAGTGGCAGCTCTCGCGGAGCAGCCAGCCCGAGCGCGGGTCGAAGCGCAGCGACGGCGGGTGCCTCTGCACCCGTTAGCCCACGGCCCTCAGGTCGTCTTCCGCCTCGATGCGCTCGGCGACCACGAGGCGGTGCGCCTCCCGGCCGTCCGCGCCGCCCCTGGGGATTTTCTCGTGAGCGTAACGAACTTCCTGCCTCGCGGACCCTCTTCTTCTCTCTTCCATTGGGATGGGCGAGGGCCTGCTGTCGAAGGGCGACGCCCCCAGGGGCCCCCGATCCCTTCTTGCGCATAAGCCGACGCGCGGGCAATGCCCCGCCCGAAACATGGCGCAAGCCTGACGGGGGACTCCGAAGACGACGAGGCGCAAAGATACCTCGAGCATTCTCACCTCGAACACTGTCGCGACTACGATTCCCGTCGCAGCGCAAGAGACTTTCTGCCAAGCCGAGGAGATGACCGCTCGTTCGGCCAGACCCGTCACCCTTCGAGGGCCAAGATGGACCGGGAGGAAAACTCGCCAGGGCGCGCCCAAGAAGAAAGGCGCCCCCCTGCGACAGCGCAGCCTCGCACAGGCCAAGGGAGTTCAAAAGTCGAGCGCTGGCCTCGAGCACCCGCGCCCTCAGCGGCCCCCAGCGCCGGGAGCCCCGTCAGCTGGTCGCGACGCCTATCGGGCGAGGGGCCGCCCGGTCGATGCCGCATGCTGCTTCAGGTCGCACAGGCCGCCCCCCCCCAGCACCGCGTCGACCAGGCCATCGTAGGCGAGCTCCAGGGCCCTCGAGACACCGCGCGGGCTGGCCAAGTTCCAGCGCGCGTCGAGGGCCAGGCCCACGCCGAAAAAAGCAAACGGGGGGCGCCGAGCTCAGCTCAGAGAGCCTCCGCGCGCCTGCGCGTCGCACTGGCTGCGCGCCCCGGCGAACGCGCGGAGCTTCGCCCCGGCGCGCTGGACGGAACGCTTCAGCCGCCGAACCTGCCCGCAGGATTCATGGGCCGAAAGGCCCGCCTCAGGCTTGTCGGCGCTCCGCCGTCGGCCCCTCTGCATGTCGACCCGCTCCGGGCCATGCGCGATCGCCTCCTCGGCTATAGGTCAGCTGCCGGTCGAGGCTCGCGAGCGCCTCCTCGGCCAACCGGCCGTTGGCCCGAAGGGTCTCGCCAAGGCTCTCGGCGTTGATTGACATCAGGATGCGCGCCGAGCGCGAGCTTCCCATGGGCAGCCCCTAGTAGCAGTGGTAAGCGACTTTGTTGCCGAGGACGTCCTGAAGCCTCAGCGGCAAATGCTGTCGCACGAGGGCATCTGACAAGCCAGGCGCGGCCGCCCATGGCCACCGCCATGAGGGCGCAAGGACAGACGAGAATGCGCAAGACTGATCGCATCTTGCCAAGTCGAGCGCCCCCACCAAAGCACGAACGAGGGAAGGCGCTCCGCCGCCTCCAAGTCCATGGCCTTCCCGCGTCTTGACGTCGCACCATGCAGAATTTACGGGACCGGCCATAATCAGTTACCTGAGCTTCTCGGGATCTTCTGTGGGGACCACGCGAAAGGCCGCTGATTGCTCTGATGTCTGGGCGGCGCATGCAGGTCCACGAGCGGGGTGGCAAGTCGGGCCTGTAAAGGAAGCGAGCCCACTTTTCCTGCGAGCCGCCCAAAAGGCCGCAGTGCTCCTCTAGTTCGCGCAGCTGCTGCTCACTCCTGCCACCTGCCAGCCCATTCCACCGCGTTGCCCTCCTCGGCGTACAACTGGGCCTCG